ATTCATCCTAAATTAGTTAAAATCATTATTATGAAGTATATTTCATTTTGAAATGTTGTATAAACATACCAATCATTAACAACATTCCTTAAATCACAATGAAAGTATTTGTGTTACTACACACATATACATTCATATATTAGATTGTCAAAAAAGTCTTGCGGTATTTTTTATTGAATTTTCAATTCTTCGTAAATTTTTTTTTTTTTTTTTTTTGATGACTCATGTCCAGCTCTTTTTCTCGACCAATTCAGCGATTTTACCGCAATTTTCGACGACAGGCCTTCCGGAGCGGAGCGCATCTTCGACCACCTCTACACCAGAACGAAAACGTTGAAACCATCGTTGTGCGGTAGAAATGTATCAGGTCCATAAGCTGCACAAATTTTATTGGCGGCTTGAGATGCATTTTTGCCTTCATCGTAGTAGTACTGTAAAATATGCCGTATTTTCTCTATATTTTGCTCCATGTTTCCGACGCTATAACTCTCGAACGACTTAAAACAAACGACAAACAATCAAACACGTGTTAGCGCGTGAAATAAGCTTTCAAAAAAGGTATAGCATGACCCGATGCGACGAATAAAACTATAACTACGCGCTCTCAGCGCCAACTAGCGAAAATACCGCAATACTTTTTTGACAAAATACTTACATACATCTAAGGTTGTCAAATATCTCTCTTCCTATGTTTTGCTCTTTATTCAATCCTTTATAAAAAATGTTGCCGTTTCGTTCGAAAATCTGTTTCCATCTAGAGGCAATTTCATAATACCCCCTCCTTATTTATTAAGAAGTCGAACAGCCACTTTTCATAAGCCTCTTTTGAGTTCAACTTTACACCAACAAGGGCGTTCGCCATGAACATGAACAGGTAGTACTTATTAACTTGGCACTATGTCCGGTGGATGCGATAAAACCTCCCATCTGAGCTCCCGTAGCTTCTGACGGGTCATCAACGAAGTGTGCGGTCTGGCCAATTCTAGACGCTTCTGATCGATCGCTTGCTTCATGTGGTCCAGTTGTTCGCAGTAGATGGTAGAATTAAGCGTCTGGCCATATTTGAGCAGAACATAGTGAATGATTCTCTTCCAATCCCTCCAAACACACTGCAAAACCTTCCTGACCGTCAATCCCGGCTTGGCCACTGTTTGGGACGATTTACTGGCCTTCGACCAGGACCGTTTTCGCTTGATATTATTGTATGTGATCCATTTTTCGTCGCCAGTCACCATCCGCTTCAAAACTGAGTCGAGTTCGTTCCATTTCAGCAGCATGTCGCAGCCGTAGATTCGGTCCAGAAGGTTTTTTGCGCCAAATAAAGCTTTTTTGTGTATTCAGAATTCTTCACATGATCTAAAATGGTTTGGTGACTAACTCCCATCTTCTGGGAGATCTTACGAGATGCCACATACCGGTCTAACTCGATGTTTTCCATGATTTGATCGGTATTTGTCGTCACTGGTCTTCCACCGGCTGGCTTATCCATGGTGTCGTTTTCACCCGCTCTGAATCGTCGAAACCACTCCTCCGAAATTCGAAATGATAGAGTACCACCCCCCAAAACACCATTAAACTCACGGATCATTGAACGGAATATCCAAATTAATCATACATAGCTACGTTTTCTAGGTTATGTCAAGACCTTTCAAAGCTTTGTAGCTCTGTTTATACATATCCGCGAAATTCAAAAGGCAAAAGGCGGAAGGAAGATATTTGACAACCTAATATTGCACCTAAAGTTTACTTTCTTTGTTTATTCTAACTTGCTCTTCTAATGTGAATCATTCACAATGCGTAACCATACTTGAAGAAATAATATTTTTTTTCTTGAACAATTACTTAAGAGCTGGATTCGGTGGATTTGCCTTGTTTAAAGCCACATGGGTAAGGTCCAGTCAATTTATTTACAATTATCTTCACAAAATACTGTCGAAAGAACCTTATAGGTAATATCAAGAGGGCTGATTCCGCTATAATTAGAGCAGACTGCGGGAACTCCCTCCCTGTGTATAGAGTAGAGTGCACCGTATTAAAATCATTCGACATGTATTCATCCGGCTAAATGAAACTTAATAGCTAGAACATGCGTTTTTCCTGCTAGAAGAAACCGCCTAGAGCGGCTTTCACTTTGTCTTGGTCAAGTGGTGGAACGACAATGTTGTCATGGCAGGTGTCACTTCTTCCGCGTTTTAGCAGGTTTCCAGAATTGTTCCCTCCACATTTCAGCTGTACTCTGTTTGTCTGTTTACAGGTTTCTATTCCTGACTTCACAGAAGCCGGATCCGGACTTAAATACATTTGTTTGCTGCCTTATTGTCTGATAAAATTTTCGGGCCGAACCTGGTAGACAGTACCTCGAGTTTTTCTTAGGCACGTTTTTCTTTCTCTCTCTTGTTTTTGTTGAAAATATGTCTCTCTTTCCTTCTATTTTCGAATGAGCGGCTGGTCAGTTGTTGGTCAGCATGCCCCTCGCCTCTTACGGTTATTCCGGAAAATGCCTTCCGTGACGACTTCAATGCGCTGGCAGCGCTAAAATAATTTTTTTTAAATCGACTCAGTCCTATTACTTACCTGCGAGGTATAATATTAGCTAAATATAATTTCCCAGCACGATCTCACAGGTGATCAAAAGTGAACTGCAAAATTCCCGGAAATTTTACAAATTGAATGTTTAATTGCTTATTGTGAGAAATATAAAACCAAGATATGTATGTATGGAACATTAAAAACAGTCTATATACCAACATTTGCCTATACGACTATTTACAGCTATGATGGTACAGTTATGCGCCTTCATCCCCAATCAGCCACCCAGATTCAACGTCAATCGTCCGTTTGTCTATTTAATTAGAAGTCGTGTTCATGGAGTGACATTGTTTGCTGGGGATTGTACGAAGCCAGAAAATTGATGATCGTTTCTCAAATACATATATTTAAAAGCACTCATCGATTGTATACATATTTGTGAATGCTTGGAAAAAAAAAATAAAATCTCAAACAACTATTACAGATAACAGTTGTTTCCTTATATGCCAAAGTGAAAATTTATTTGTCATGAAGGTCCTGAAGACTTCATTCTCTCATAAGTGACGTAGATTACCTTTAATATTTCGGGATTTAGCAATCCTACCATAGAGATGGGCATTTTTGATGGTATGCATACTCAGAACGTTTTGATATACGAGCGCTACTTGTGTTCTTAACAGTAAGCTGAAATACTCATTCGGCCAAAAAATGATATTTAAACGCGAACATTTCCGCGCCATTATTTTTTACAACTTTCGACGTGGATTAATCGACCGGACCTGGGCTTATCGATGGAATGCTGAATTTAATCGAGGTCGTACAGTCATGACTTGGAGTCATCCAAGACGAATTTCGAGAAGGTCGTCGGCCAAAAGCAATTGCTGTTCCCGAAACTATTAAGGATATGGGCAAACTGATACTACAAGTTCGTCATATCATCTATCGTGAGATTGAGACAACTTGTTTATATGGACATTAGGGAGACTAACATGCAGTCAATATTGCACGAACATTTGGCTGTAAAAAAGTTGTTCACGTTGGAGTCCATACAATTTGTCAATCGCTCAAAAAAGGTTCGTGTCGATGAACTCATAAAATTGTTAACGAATCTCTCTTCACCACGTCAATGCGAGCTTTCACAGGTCGACTGAATCAACTGCATTTTTGCATCGACTTGATGAATAATCTACTGTAGAGTCTTAACTTGTCACTGATGAGCTCCTTTTTATTCCCGTACGAAACAAATAAACTAAGAGGTCAACGTTCTCCGCCACCTGAAGAGGCAGTTGTGAGTTCAGAACGCATATTTTGAAGATATGTACCTCAATCGGAGTGGCGAAAATGCTTCGAAAATTGGATCAAACGCATGCAAAAGTGTATAGATTTTAATGGAGAAAAAATTTTAAAAAACTATAAAGCGATTTTTGACGACTAAGATATGTTTTTGTTCTCGAATCCCGAAATAAAAAAAGGCAAATTGTGTAGTACAATCACAGGAAATTTGGATTTCTTGCAATCAAAGGAAGTCAAATTACAAGAGACCTTTGTTTTCCCGCTCTTCTCTCTCTCTTTCTTTCTCTCTCTCCCTCTCGCTTTCTCTTTCTCTTTGTCAATTTATCTTCCTATCTATTTACCTCCTATCTCTTTTTCTCTAGCTTGAGCGACAGTATCTAAATACATGTGGACTTATCTAGCATAGCTACAGAATCTTAATTTTAATTATTTCGGAGATTAGACATCCATTTATTAAGAAGTTTTATAAATAACATAAAATGTGTAGTTCTTCATTCCGTCCAGAAAACACACCGAAACGGTAGCAATAGTGTTTGGGAACAAAAATGGTACCGTTCAGGACTTTGTAAAAATAAGGCAATTATGATTTGGACTTAGTGGTTGACTGAGGTGGGTGAAATTTCCTCTTGTTCTTAGTTCTTTCCGAATCCATTAATAAAATAATATTTATCAAATCTGCTTGAAAAGTGAGGCTCGAATTTTGTCTAGATCTAGTATTAAAAGTGCTCGCATTAAAGAAGTTTTTCGGGATTCAATATAACTCGTCGCCTTTAACTAGAAAGCAAAAGATTCTTATGCGAAGTGCTAAAAAAGTTGAGTATCGGATAGCTCTTTGGCTTCGATTTACTATTTCGAATGTAGCCACGTTAGAGCACGCCAAGATTATCCAAGATTATGCAATGCAGTAAAAGATAAAAATCCTAATTAAAAACAGTTTAATTTTTTTTTTTTTAACTTTACGCCAATAGTTCATATATTTGATAAAAGTACTATATATTTTACTTTAGGTGTTTTTATTATTAAGTGACTTTTTTTTTCTTTTTGATATATTTTACCCATAACTTCTTTGACTAACATATGGGCATGAACTTATATAACAACAAACATATAGTATAATTGTTTTTTAATTTAGTTTATTTTATTACCGTTATTTTCGTATTGTATTTTCTATTTAACAGCCATCTTCGTGGGCTTCAGCGGACCAGCATTACCTAAACAACCGCCCAGAAAGTTTATTGCTGACAGACCCTTCGTATTTCTAATAAAAAATAAAGCAAATTTCGTTATTTTTGCTGGACAAAAGGCCAGGCGTTAAGGCCTAAATGTATTCTACACAATTTTAAATTTACTTTTATTTACTTTACGTATGTTAATTAACAGAGTTTAAATTTGAGAAACTGGTTTAGATAAAACAATACGATGGTCTTGAGGGGTTACGTGGCTTTCACCAATTTTTCCATATACATAATTAATTTATTACAATTTTTTAGCAACATTCGAAAAAAAATTTTTGAAAATTTTTGGCCAAAAAATCAGGCGTTCGTAGCTAGCTCCTGGGGGCACCACCCAAAAATGTCACCTTGCGGTGGTCAGCATAACAAGCGAAGGATTCATCTAAAATCAAAAACTCAAATTTTAACGGTTAGTCGATGAGTTAGCTCCTGATTAGTCAAAAATTTTTTTAAAAAATAAGAAATAAATTTTTTTGCACAGTTGCAAGTAAAACAGTATGATTTTAGGTCTAATTTTTACGACAACTTACCTTGAAAAAAATTAGTTTTTATCGAAAAAATTATTATATCAATCACGAGGACATGCTACTTAGAAGAACTCTGAAAAAATTCAATAAGAACGTTACACTAGTTTCTGAGTAATTGTTTCCACCGACTTTGATAACCATGTTTCGAGAAAAAACGCGATCAAATATTGGAGTAGCCGAACGATCTAGCCTGCCGACCGCTCTCCCAAAGTTTATTATTGCGAATACTGAAATATTGGGTAAACATTCTGGAAGCTAAAAAAATATTTTTTTGAAATTTCAAAACCCACCAAACCCCTTAAGAATTAATTTTGGAACTCAGCATCAGACATTCGAGGAGAATTGACTATCAGGCGTTTTAGGATTTAGGTATGGATTGCTTTTCTGAAGCGCTGTCATACGGTCTCAAAATCCTCTTAAGTAGTGGCGCACTAAGGGTTACAATTAGGTGAAAATAAATTTTGTGAGAAAAGTTTTTAATAAAATAAAGTGGTAATGTCAAATTGCCTCCCAGAAATTTTTAATTTTTCTTTTAATTTATTATTTACTATGTCTTTAATATTTGCTTATATATAATAAATAAATGTATATAATAAAATGGAACACAATGGCATATGGGATACACATTTTTTGCAGAGAATTTAGAAGAACAAGTTAATTTTGCTAATAAAATAAATTTTGTTATTAACTCGCATATTTCTTTCACTCTTAAATCTCATATGTTAATAAGTAATAATAATTAGATCAATTAGTTTTGTCAACTCCAATTTAACTAAAAGTGACATTTCGTAAATATTATTTTTTTGTTCTCTCTTAGATGCCCTCTTTTCGAGCATAACCTCAGTGGGAGGAGGTCCACTGCCGCCCATGCTATTCATAGCAGACCAACCGTTCGCATATATCATAAAAAATAAGGCAAATTTGATACTGTTTGCTGGACAAAAGACGAAGGCATGATGGAGCTCACTTGAACAATTTTATATATCTATATTTGAGCATATATAAACTATCTTAAAAATAAAAAAAAATAAAATTTATATAATATTTCGTTGGTCACCATATAACTGTTATTATTTATTATATAACGACTTGGAGTAACTTAATATTATCACGGTATCAAGAATGATAGAAATAGAGCATATGACAATGTTTTGCTGTTACTGTTACATGCAAACTTGGCATGTGATGTCATGCACACAATTTTTCTAATCATATGTTTAAATTTTAAAATTATAGAAATTTGACTATTCTTGTTGTAAACGTGACATTAACTTATCTCCATCATTCTTGCTCGTTATGTGTTGAACGTATATATGTGTACATTAATTTATTTACCGTTAAGGTTATTTTGACAGTTTACGATTTTCTGCGCCTGTCACAGCATGCAAACAGATGTTCGTGGGAAAACCTAATCATTTGTGACAAAAACAACATATTTGTATGCAATGCATGTGGCAATAACTATAATAATTCCATCCATCTAATTTTGGGGTTCATATTGTCTATGAATATATTACAAATTAGAAATAATTCTATTTAACACTTTTCAGTTTTGAGAATTTTGCCCGTAAGGAGTTTCAGACGCAAACGCTTCATTGCTGATCATCCTTTCATTTATTTTCTGCGCTCCCGAAAGTTTGGCATCTTCTTCATGGGTCAGTTTCAGCAGATCTAGTTGACTGGAAGACTGTTGAAGAGAATAATGATGACCGTCTAGAATGGCAAATAAGAATACGTTGAATTTATATTAAAATTATAGAGAGGAGAGGATAAAAGCAAATAAAAAAGAGCGAATATTTAGAAAGATTAGAATTTATTTGTAACCTTCATATGTAAATAAAGATGATTAATTTTAATAAAAAAAAATATACTCTTTGAGATATTCCGGTAAGTAAAGGTATACAGACTTAAAGAGATTAAAGAATTTATTAAGCTGTGATAGCCTATCAGATTTACAAAATGCGATTTTTTTTAAAAGCTCAATAAGCCATTACGTGATCAGAAACTTAACTTAGAAAATAAGGATGACGTCCATATTGATGACATCAGTTGAGTTCACAAGAGACTTGAAGACTTGATATGTACATATATTTTATTTTTGTGATCATTAAGTAAAGTAAGCGAGAAAAGTTAAAAACTTTCTTTTCGACTAAAAATTAACATTGTTAGGTTGTGAGAATTCTCCAGGTAGTCGATGTAAAACACACTTTGTAAATTCCAGAAAACAGCTACATATTATCTTCCAATCTTTGCCTGCCTAGAGGCGGGTGTCAGCTGAAATTCGCTCTCCTCTTCGCCTACTTATGATGTGGCCTTATTGTCCGCTAAAACAATATGAGCGCCCATCACGTCGACAACTTTTTTATGCTCAATATTTCATGTAGTATATGACACACGCGATCCTTTGTGATGACTACTGTCTTCAATTCTCAGTCGACCAAAACGAAACCATGGACCTTTTCCAAGTTATGCTCTGAAAATGGCTAAGATTTCGAGGCAAATGTATGCGGCTCATTAATGACTGGCACCCGTCCTCGTTAAAGCATATTTGGAGATACCAAACGAAGATGAAGAATCACAGTATACCGCATCCCTGAGCTCTTTGCTTTCGCTGCGCGATTTTCCCTCCAAAAACCTCCAATATACCGTAAGCAGTTTTGAAATTTCAAAAGTTATCAGACAGGTCCGCTTTCACAAGTGGTCAAAACAAAACTACGAGTCTGACTCGTTTGAGAAAGTACTACTTATTCGAGCACCCTCATATGTATATATGTATGCATAAGAAGAATAGTTGGGTTATAAGCGTGGCTGCAAATCTTCTGTATAACAGAGTTTAATTACACATATGTACATAATAGCTTGTCAAAAAAGTCTTGCGGTATTTTTATTGAATTTTCAATTGTTCATAAAATTTGTTTTGATGACTCATGCCCAGCTCTTGACCAATGCTACGTCGCTACAATGCCGGTCTCTTTCGATCAATTCAATGCGATTTTATCGCAATTTTCGACGACAGGCCTTCCGGAGCGTGGCGCATCTTCGACCACCTCTACACCAGAACGAAAACGTTGAAACCATCGTTGTGCAGTGGAAATGGAAACTGTATCGGGTCCATAAACTGCACAAATTTTATTGGCGGCTTGAGATGCATTTTTGCCTTTATCGTAGTAGTACTGTAAAATATGCCGTATTTTCTCTTTATTTTGCTCCATGTTCGCGACGCTATAACTCACGAACGACTTAAAAGAACCGACAATCAATCAAACACGTGACCCGATGCGACGAATAAAACTAGAACTATGCGCTCTCAGCTAGCGCAAATACCGCAAGACTTTTTTGACAACCCAATATATCATGAAGATTGTTTCGAAGGAAATTAAGTTCAGTTAGATTTATGGCTTTGGGAGATACAGTTTGCAAATGACTATTTTGAAATTTTATAGACGAGCGCAGTAGACTCCTTTCAGCGAAGAATTGATATATTTTCAAACACGTGTAATCGATTATTGTAACTAATGCTATCGATTTGTAATATCATCAGAGTATGAGATAGAATACATAAAATAAATGAATGATGATTGCACCGCGACTCAGGGCCTCTTGTGTCCTCTCCTAAATCATAACGAGTCACCGAGCCCCAGCAGATTGATAAATTCGAATATACTGCTAGGTGCTATTGAGGCTATGTGATCCCTATTTGGAAACATGGATCCAAGGACCTTTATCCCCCGCCTAAAGACGGCTGTGCAGTCAATTAGCAGATGTTTGGGAGTTTCAGACTCTATGTCGCAAAACCGGCTCTTCTCACAAGACATTAGGCCCATGTTGTATAAGTAAGACTTCTTAAGCTTTCAATAGCCAGTGAAGAAGGCAAGTAGCCTAAGTTTATCCCTTACGAGGTTGATTACATATTTAAAGCATTTAAGGTTGTACTAACCCATTAGTTAGGAGTTGTTGCCAATATCTCTCCCACTGCTTCATCCTCGCAGCTCTTTTATGGTATAGGACCAACCTAAATGAAAGGTTCGGTTCCCACCATTTTGGTGGATGCTGTGGAGCCTGATAAGTTACACTTGATTACGATCTGATAGACTGTTCAATCATTCTATAAAATCCTGCACCAATAGTGAGTATGCAGATTTTGGTGCTATTTCTCGCTTCCCTTCTACGTTTTCGAGGCGTCGGTGTACCGCTTGATTATACTATCCCTAAACAGTAGCTGGAGAGCGGAACGTTCCATTCAGCCTTAATGCTAAGGGTAACCTTAAACTTCTTAGTAAAGTTAACTCTTTTAATAACGCTGACCCATGGGAGAAGAGCCAATGGTATTTCACCATTTAAGTCCTTCATACGCTGGGATGAGATTACCTTACCTCTACCAAACCCTTCTGCTGTCATTTGGAGCAGTGTGTGTTTGGCAACCTGACCGTTTACTAGGTGAAGCGGTGTGAGATCCAGCATGACTTCAAGTGCCGCCGTTGCAGCTTCGATAGTTGAAGTCCTAGCGAAGTCTGCGATTCGGGGCCTAATTCAACGCTGTGATAATCAGTAGCACGATCATGGTGTACAACCATCTGACAATCCTTGGCTTACAGCCCCATGAGATAGATAATATATATGCCTTCAGATGTTTGCGGCAGTTTCGAAATATATATAGGATTAAAAAACGGAACATATTCTCTTTGCTTGTATATTTGACCCATTGAGATGTAATGGAATCTCAATAATTCCTAGTCCAACTTAATAGTAGATTCAGTAAAGTCCGTGTCTTCAATGCCTGGTAAGCAGCCATCTGTCAGTTAAGTTCTGGTTAAAAAAAGTTTCTATACAGAAAGAAGGAGTCTTAGTTGAGATAACCCGAACTTAACTGACAGATGACTGCTAACCAGACATTGAAAAAGTATTTAAAGTCAGAAATAATATTTTTAATATCACTTCGTAGGACAACTACGATAAGTCCTACCTTAAAGCTGAAATTCTAAAAAAATACATTAGGAGATATAAGAAAAAAATTTTAAATTTTGTCTATGGAAAATTCTAAAAATATAGCGAAATATTAGGGGGATTCTCTTGCTCTTGCAAGATTGTAGATTGCAAAAATCCTATACAGAAATATACAAGGGCACGAGAGCACCCATTGCAGATACTAGTGATTTATGAACGGCTGATTCAGTCAATTTATTGTAAATGACTATTGTGAATTGGCACACCTTCTGAATTCTTATTTAACACAAAAAACATGTTGTTATAAAATCTATTTAAAATTTACCTTTCTCAACAATTTAACGTCAAAATATGTATTTATGTGAAATGACAGCTAAAACAGGGTTGCAACTATATTTTCGCGTGACATTGCACTAATTTGCGTGCATGTTTTTTCATCTGACATATTTTACAGCCCTTGCAAATATTTTTCTACATGTGTTTGTTGTTATGCCGTTGCATTAGGTGGAAAAATCTGTAATCCATGCACCGTGCAAGGGTTCTGTA